GGAGCTATTGTAATATTATAAAATATCTTGCAAATACATTAAATACTCTTACATTTCTAACAAAAATAAATTTCAAAACATTTAAAAACCACACATATTATATGCACTTACTTTAATTTATAAAAGAAAGTATTGTCAAGATCCATGATAATAGTAAAATAAGAGTAACAATAATAATAGTAATACTAATAAAAGTAGTAAGAGGTTTTCCTAAAATATTACTACATACTAAAATAAAATTATAATTGGTTCCCAATTATAATTGGTTCAGTAATAGTTTATGGAATTCTATAAACCGCAATGTGAGTTAGCATTATAATTTTCACATTTTGGTTTGGTAACAAAGCTAGCTGGCTGTCCCTACTCACTCATTCACTTAGGGAAAAAATTATAAACTTAATTTTCTTAGTCCAGTCTGTCTCAACCCCTCTTTCCCTACTTGCCTACATGTATCATTATTGTAACTAGTATTTCACCCGTGCGTTGCACGGAATAAAAATTATTTTATGAAATATTAGTAGTATATTTTTATAATAATATTTTAAGAAATAAATAAATTTATTAGTAGTAGAGTTTACAATATTATATTAAGAAATACATACATTTATTTGTAGTATGTTGTTTATGATAATATTAACAAATCGATATATTCAAGTAACCTCGTTAATAGTGTCGGTGGGTTACATACTCGGACAAATTACTATGTATAGTGGCATGAGAAAAAGAAGCAAATTTCAAAACAAATAAAAATGCACCAATATTTCCGGAGAAAAAGAAAGAGAACTGCACTAATAAACAATTTAGCCCATTTATGAGAGAGATCGCATTCTGGATAGATAAATTCCACTTTTCCATCTCGGTCAGGAATGTCATGTTCACTAATAAACAATTTGGTCCATTTTAAACAAATGAAAATTCTAGATAAGTGAATTCATTTTCCCCATTTTGGCCAGTCCCGTCCAATCTTCCTCAACCCCTCATCTTCTAACATCTTTGATTCTTTGCCTAGCTAGATCTTTCCTTTATTGATATAGGCTTCTTTCAACCCAACCGCCTGTACGGTTTTTGGAAGATACATCAGGCCAAATAATACAAATAAAATTATAATGCAAATAAAATTGGAAACAAATATTTGTCATCGAAGAGAATATAAAATGTATAGACCCTTCGAGAGGTGAATTTCATCTATCGTTATTACTTTGACATACTTTAAACGTAGTATCTTTTTTACCTTATACGTAGTAGTACTTTTTACAATTTATGATGAATCTTTAGATTGATCCTCTAATAGCTGTTGAACTCGTAGCTTCAAATATGAATTTCGCAGTGGTAATGCTTTAATTTACTTTAATGAATGATATTAGATAATTCTAAATGTGGATTTTGAATGCAAAAAATTATGACATCTTGCACTTTTCAATTAAGTTACACACAAACATTGAAGCTTGATATATCATTCTCTCCAATTCAATAAAAACAATACTGTGGGGAATGTTTGTTAAAAAGGAATCTTATTCGTAGGGAATGCTCAAATCTATATTGTGATGATTATTCACATCTTATATAGGAAAACTGTAGCCAGTCAATTATAATTCCATTAATTTTGAAGCATGCTTTACCTGGTATTTCTAATTTATATGACCTCTTTTAATATTAATAAATCAGATTTAATTTTTGTTCTCAAGGCATTACAATCTAGTATTCTAAATAAATTTAGTTTTTATAAAATATGCAATTTTAAGTTTCTTTTTATCCTGAACCTTTATCCTTTCATTCATTACACTTGTTGAGATGTAGATTTTATTCATAACATCATTATTTGAGATAATTGAAAACAAAGTAAATCCGAACAACAAAAAGGAAAGTATACCCAACACACTAATTCTAGCACTCAATTGGCAAATATTAAAGTAAACAATTAGTAAATTTTTATTGCAAAGAATATACATTGAAAAGGAAAAAAAAACGAAGTAGCATACAATGAGTTTTTGCCACTTTTGGTCCTCCGACTATTATGTCATTGACACTTTTGGTACTCGACTTTGGTTTTTCTCACTTTTAGTCATCGACTACTGTGTTAGAGACACTTTTGGTACCCATCTTTGAAAACTTTCATATTTAGTCCTTCGACTTTCATAAAATTGACACATTTGGTTCTTCAACTATTATATTAGTGACATTTTTAGTCCTCTGCTCATTGTGTCAAAAACATAGTGGAAGGACAATTTGATAATACTAAAGCGACTAAATGTGGGAAACTTTTAAGTTGAGGACTAAAAGTGTCTCTAGCACAATAGTCAAGGATTAAAAATGGAAAAATTGAAAGTCGAGTACCAAAAGTGTAACTGACACAATAGCCAGGGGACCAAAAATGGAAAAAACTCACAATTGGGGTGCTCGCTAACCTCTTGTTCTACGAAGGTGAACCATTTTATTTAGGCTTGTTAGTCTTTGACGTTTGACCCTTGAAGATTAGTTAATGTACAACTGCAGAAATGATGAAAATGGAAAATCTTAATCATATTTGAGTTTTACATTTATACTTACTCATAGTACTCCGTAATTTCTGTTATGTTACTATGTATCCTTTTTAGAAAAACTCTTCCGATCCCTTGTAAACATATGAAAACACAACTGCATCTGGGTAGATTTGGAGTGTTCTGTATATAGGAATAGAGATTAGAGACACGGGATATTGTGCAGCCTCTGATAGCCAATCATTAAATGATTCCTTCAGATAATACACCGGCGGTGCATTCTATTTAATGCATGCAATCAGATGCCTTCCTTTTCATAGGTCCATGTGAAGTTCACATTGCTGACACATTTAATTAGGAATCTGCAATTTTAAATTAAATATAAAGCTTTATTAATGATACCACTGGAGTTTTCTAGTAAAATGCTTCACATGAAGTTTTTGGGCGGAAACTTCTTAAGAAAGTTTTCTTTTGCTATTATATATTAATATAAGATGACATTTTAGCGTGTCATATCGTGGAAAAGGGGTGGTCCCCCAAAAGAGAGTTCACAAAAAGTTATCTCGATCTCTACACCCAGAACACACATTTTCTTGCTTCTAGAATGTTACTTCCTCCGGCCCTTAAAACATGTGTTAAGACCTGTGGTTCTATTCTAAAAGGTCAACTTGATAAGAGTAGCAGTTCACATCTTAATATAGCATTTGATTGTTTAAGAGATATCTGGTGTGGGACAACACCTCTCCTTACGACCAGACAATTCATCTGGATCGTGCTGTCATTAATTTTTTCTTCTATTGTCATTGTCGTTTTTTAATTGTGTCATCATTTTTTATAGGAGGGCCACACTATGGATCAATATGGATTTGATACCATGTTAAAACCTGGGGTTCCATCCTAAAAGGTCAACTTGATAGGAGGAGTAACCCACATCTTAATATAGGATTTAACTGTATAAGAGATATCTGGTGTGGGACAACAACAACATGACCAAGTTTTACCGACACGGTGAATAATAAAGTAAAAATTATGTGGTTGAGTTTTTTCAGATGATATAGAAATAATTGCAATCACAAATTAATTGATTAAGAAGGAAAATTATAAAGTTTGTGGGACAACCAAAAAAGGAAAGATTTCAAAGTTATAAGGGACACAGGGAGTATTAGCTAGATCATTAAGTTGAGGAACATTACTCATTTTGTTATAATAATACACGGATAGTTGGATGTGTACAAGTTGCCAATACATATATGTGTATATGCAACTAATTTCTTTCACACACAATACAATTGGAATTACAAAGCGATTGCAACGACATCATTACTAGAGACATATACAGTTAGATGCCCGACAATGATTTTATGTCCTTCATGAGGCGTGATTGAAAGTGAACATCGAAAGGAGAGCCCAATGACTAGCTTAGTGAGTCAATGATTGGCGGGATATAGACTGAAGTAAATTTTCATAGATGACATTTAGGTGACAACATCACTATAGTTGCGCATACTCGAGCAAAATGTTTAAATTCTACTTTAACTATTGATATTATTGCATTTTGTTACTTTTGTTTTTAAATGAAATAAATGAATATCATAATTATAATGTTTCAACCAGTATTACAATTCAAATTTTCGGCCGAAAAACCTATGTGAGCACCAAAATTCCATATGTAGAGTACACCGTACAGTGATGACATGATAAATCTAATATAAATTAAAGTGGACTCTCTACGTATGGAATTACGGCCACCATGTAAATATATTGATCATTTTTATCATGGAATAATAAGTATGGCTATGTAAGAATAAGTATATAGGTTTGTGTGATGGTTTCTTTAAAAGAGCCGATTTGATCTTTTTAGATAATCCCATTCATCAGCAATAATAATTCTATAATATAATTAAAAAAATTGTAGAAAAAATCACTTGGCTCACTGGCTCACAAAGAGAACTTCTGCGATTGGGAGCTAGTGCATGTGTTTTTAATGTATTAAAGAATAAGTTTAAACATAAGGTACACATAATATACATTTTCTTCTGAAAATGCATAAGTTTTTGAAAAGAAACACATAAATTAACACCAACAAAATCAGTAAAGTGGAAGGTGAACATGTAAGATTGCCCAAATCTGAGGGAGTAAGTGAACAAGTTTATAGCAAAATATAAACTAAAAAACTTAACTAGAGTTTTTGAGAAGACTCATTCAGAACATAAACAAATAGGTTATGCAATCTCATCGCTACACAAGTAATTACACAAATATATACATGATGAAAATTAATTTAAATACAAATAATAGTAATAATGTTGATTATTATATTTATATCCAAGAGTTTCTTTAATATTTAAGGCCAAAATGTAACTTAGGTGATTTAGAACATGGAAACTAGTAACAAAAAACTTCATGCAATGTACGGATTAAATAAGGATGTATGTACATGCACGTGTGTATCTACACATACTCACACACATATATATATATATATACCTCGAGAGCCGATGTATTTTTCTTAAGTTAGAAAACTAGACAAAGAAAGAAACACGTATTTTCATGTCCCTCACATTGGTTATTTCCTTAATGCCCCAAAATGGTAATTCTGAGCAAACCAGTGGTCCGGCGGCTAGCCCTGCACCGCTGGCCGGTGAACACAAAAGCCAACATCAGCGGTACATTGACTCTCTGCCCAAAAACGTGACAGAGTTTCTGGACAATTGCACAGACCACATGGTGCTGGAATGTGCGGAGGAGGTAATCAATGCGATATTGTTGATGGGCTCCATTTCCGATGCTTGTTGCACCGATCTGGTGAGCATGGGTGTTGAGTGCCACACTTCATTGGTTAAACTCTTTGTCAACTCGCCTCTTCATAAGGCCAATGCTCCCACTATCATCGCTAATAGTCAACGGATCTTCGACGACTGTACCATAGTCGATAGGAAGTGTCGCTATGGGAACACACAATAAGAAAAGTCAATATGAATACTACAAATCTTTCTTACAACGTGAAAGTGTTCGATCCGGGGAATACAAAAATTCACAACATTGCAAAGTTTTAAGTGACGCACCAATATCTTATATGACGTCTAAAACGTTACTTCTTCTGTCAAAAGGCAATCCCACTAGAGCATTTCTTACTCCGTGACAAAAAAATTCACCTTCGAATTTATCATTCGATATTGTATATCAATTTGTACCTTTTTGAGTTGATATATCACGATACTACTCCGCAATACTGTGCACATTATATTCATTATATAACCAAAATAATTAATATAAAATGTACACTTATGCACACATAATGTACTCCCTCTATCATGAAATGACTATAAATATTGGACTTCAATCCAATTTTTTTAAATATAACAGTTTGGTATTAAAACTTGACTCTCTCGTTGTGCCGGTTTAAGGTTAGTATATTGCAGTCAACATAATTTCCATTGATATCCATTTTATATTTTCCAATCTCTTTTAAAATTCAAAAATTGTTTTTGAAATTGAATTGAACTACAAGTGTAGTTTGTAAATATGTAAATTTTAAGTATTAATACTAATAGATACTCTAAAGTACTATCGATGAAAAATTAATTTTACTTGAATCAATCATTGTAAATCGCACATAAACCACAAAATGGAGTATTAACTTGATACCTGAAGACAATCATGAACCAGGCCATTTGTATGAACTTGAACTATTGACATAATAATATATCAAATTATAAAATAAAATTGCAAATAGTTATATGATATTTTTTTGCGAGAATTTGACTTTGTAACGATTAAAAATTGTTAAAGGATTAATGTTTATACATCTTCCTATACATTTGCTACATTTGTGGATATTTATGAGAGTAATTCTAAATATACATTTGCTACATTTGTTATTGTAGAAGAGTTTTTCATGTTTGAACGTTCAATTTGTAACAGATTTAGTCTTAGAGTTCGTTGTATTAATTAAGGATGTTTACGTTAATGTATCAGGGATCAATATGGAACCACTGTACAATATTTTGAACATTTTATACTTGTATTAAGGATGTTTATGTTTCCTTCTATCTTTTTTTTTTTAATTCAAGGCGGCTTAGATTGAAATCACAGCATTCAAACAGGGAACAATAAGATAAATGGAACACTTACAACCGCTGACCCTCGAACCAGACTTAGAGTCAATCACCCTGTGAAAAGCAATATGACTCATTAATCCTATAATGAGACTAAATGAGCCTAACGCGGTTAAAATAGATCCCTCATCACCCCATCCCAACAAAACCAGTCTGATAAAAAAAACAAAAATGAAAGTATAAAAGTGGGATTTCCTCTGCACCCTACAGGTCCCGAACGTCTTCAGTCTTCGCGGCGGGTCTAGGAACCAAGACCCGCCCGCTCTCCGTTTTTTGGGAAGTCCAGAGCCATGTTGTCCCCTTCACTCCCCTCGTACTGCTTTTCCTCCCAAATCCTTCTACGTTTTTGCTCTCCCAGAATCCCCTCTATAGCTCCTATCCCATCCGCCTCCTCTCTATCCTTGCTAGTTTCCGCCACTGTAATGGTCTAGTTCTGCCCTTCTGCTCCCCCTCTTCCATCAATGTCCCTCTCTTTCCCCTGATAATTATCCTGCTGAGTTGAGTCCTTCTCACCTGAAGAACCATCCAAGACCAGCCACTTATTGGCCCCCGCCAGATGAGGTTTCCCTCCCCCTCCAGCCCGGAGGCTAACCCCATAGGGTTTGTTCAACACTTTGTTCTCGCACTCATAGGCGAGAGGACAAAACCTGTCAGCATGACCAATAATACCACAAGCAAAACAAAAACTAGGTAGTTTCTCATATTTAAAGTTCACCCAGTGGCCTCGACCCCTTCCCTTCCTACGGGTCGTACCCCTTTTGAGAGCTTTCTCTATGTCCATACAAACCCTAATTCTCATGTATGAGTTCCATCTCTCCTCAAATTGAATTTCGTCAAAATTGATGAATTTGCCAATAAAATTGCCAACTCTCCTGACCACACCTAGACTCATAAAATCATAAGGTACGTTATGTACCTGCACCCAAAACTCAGCCTCATTTAGGGGAACTCGAAGAGGGATGTCTCCCGGCTTTAATTCCTTCAGCACTAGCAGGTTCTGTTCAAAGAGCCAAGGGCCACTTCCGAGCACACGTTCCATATCAATTACATGATAAAAAGTGAACATATACCTCTTTTCCCCGATTTCTTTGATTGAGATCCCTTTCCCAGGACGCCATAGAGAAGCCATAAGATCCCTAAACACCGGGAATTTCACCATTTTGTCTGTGAGGACCCGGCTGGAATCGCACGACTGGAAACGTAGTGCAACGCAGCGATGTCTCTCCGACGCCGGCTGACTCCTCGTCAAAAACAAGCTCGTCCTCATCTCCCCCTAAGCCCATATGGTTGTATTTATCTGCGATGTCCTCCATCCTGAATGGTTGTGTGAGTTTCGAACTAGGGGTGGGCAAAGTGGTTCGGTTTGACCGAACCGAACCGAAAAATTGAAGTTTTGTTTGGTTTGGTTTGCCCTAGTCAAACCGTTTGGTACAAATATTTACAAACCGAATGGTCCGGTTCGGTTTGGTTTATAAACCGAAAAACCGTATGACCCGATCGGTTTGCCTATTCTAAAAAACGCAGGATATGTACAAGCTGTGCGGACTTCAAACTTTCAAAGTTGTGCACAAGCCATGAACCAGACACACAAATTTATAATAAGCCATGCACAAGCCATTTACAATTGCGATTTCTGCTAAATAAGCTGACTGTCTCATCTTTTTGCTGCTATAGACTGCACTGCGGTGGCTTCGATTTTTTATTCCAGTAGCTAGGTGTGAGTTATATATAATAATAGTCTAATCGTGGGGGGTGTTGGGATTAATTAATTAATCTTAATTAGTTTACTTCCTAGGGAACATAAATTATCTTTCCCTACTTTTATTGGAAAGATGAAAGGTCTTCTTGGAAAGGTGATCGGGCTAAACTTGCAAGTGTACAAGTGCCGATACAGTAATAAATTCCGGTAAAATACCGGGTCGAATCCACAAGGAAACGTTGTTTAATTCAAGTCCGAGAGTAGATAACGTTAAATGAAGAATTGAATAAAATGCAGGGATTTTGATTTGTGTTTTATATTTTTGGTTTTTTCACTTTTTGTTCAACAAGATAATCGTTAACTAACTTTGAGTTCAAGATAAATGATAACAACAACTAAGGCTTCGGGAATCACTTAAATGCTTAAATAGGGTTGAATATTAGTTCTTTGCCAATAATTATGAATACGATGTCGCTAATATATTCTCAACTCCGATTAAGGCAGCGAGAGCGTGGTTTTCGTTACGTGTAAGTCCCGTTACGGCTTACATTCATCTACCGAAAACCCCGTTGAATATCAAGACATCACACCCGTATCATATAAGACCGGATATATTTCTATTCTCGGTACTATATATGTTTATCCTTTAGTGTTCATAGTTTAGACTTCAACGTTAATTGCAAGTATAAACTAAATTTAACATACTTCTATGTTGTACACCATAGTCATAAACAATCGATATATAAAGGATAAATCACAATTTATTGGTTTAGAACTTTTATCAAACACCTAGTGGGCATAGAAGTTCATCCCTAGCCTTAGCTAAGAAATTAGCCTCTAATGCTCATATTAATCACAATACAATAATAAATGTAATGGAACATGAAATTACAAAGGAAATAATACCTAAACACCAATGATTTAGGAGGATGAACTTCCCTCCTCAAGAACCTGAAGAAAATACCAAGAACAAAAATATAAAAGCTAAGAATTAATCTATGGAATGGAATGTGTTTGTATGATGAATTGAGGGATTTATATAGGCTAAAGAATGGCATCTTTTAGTCTATTCAATCCCAACAATCAGGTATGGAAGAAATATTTGATCAACAATGAGGAAGATGGAGTTTTCCCATCAAGAATAAGCTTGCACGTTGCTGTGTTTTAGCTGAAAATCGACTCAACCGGCGCCGGTTGGTCATATGACCGGCCCCGGTCGAAAACAGGCTCTTTTAGTGCGTAAAAAGACCTTCCAACCGGCGCCGGTTCTAGGCTGACCGGCGCCGGTTGCAGTGCCCAAAATTGTACTTTGGCTTTCTTCCTCCGGACTGGGTCAAAAAGTGTCGGGTTTTGTACCTGGATTTTGGGAATGTTCCGCTATGAATTTTGACATGATTCCTTCACTAAAGTTGTAGATAATGAAGTCTTCTATCCACCAAAACTTGAATAATGTGATTTTATTCATCCAATCAAACGTTATGGATAAAACACTGAGAGGTATGCATCCTTAAATCCCACCAGCAACATCTGACTTTGTTTGTTGATTGAGTATTGTTCCTTTCATATTTTGGCCATGACGTCTTCATAACATTTGTTCCTTATTGAGTTAGAATTCACATGAATCTCGAATCGAGTGATTTCGAGTTCTATAAAATACGTTATACTCAAATTATGGGCAAAACGTCATCCTTTTGGTCCCAAAAGCCGTTCATCACAATGTTTTATGCTTTAGCTCTCATTTTGAAGTTGTTTTCCCAATTTCTCTTCTTTTCTTCAACAAATACTTATAAATACTTATGTTAAACACAAGTAAATATAACGGCTATCAAAAGGTATGTTGAAGACTATTTATTGTGAATCAAGTTTGTCTGTCTTGTCTGTAATAAGTTAGATGTTTACTATCTCTATTCTGTACTGACTAAATATATCTGTTAGAATAGTATACAATATGGGACAAGTGTTAGGCCCATACTCAGGCAAGAAGCCTTTGTACGCATACCTGAGCCTCGCCTATAAAAGAGGGAGGAGGACTCAGGTTTGCGGTTAACTTTCGTATCTGCTCAAAATAGCCTTAGCGCTTATCATTCTTGTACGAAAGATTCACGGTATATCAGAGAAGGTTTTCACTTGATCTTTCTGTGTTCATCTTTATTGTTAATCTTTCATCTGTATGCCATATTATACTGTTGTTATAGAAAACAGGGACTATCAATTGGTATCAGAGCCGATCGAGAGGTGATCAGAAGAACTGTCTGCGAAAGACTCTGTTTTTATAGAATAGCTAGTTTATCATCTGTAATCTTATTTCTGCACCAAATACTGTAAAAGTTATACTGTTAGAATCGCGTTTCAAAGACGATCAAGCAGTATATCTTCCTTTTTCTTTTCTGCAATTTTTCTTCAGAAGTAAACTCGCACCCTTGAACTC